ACAAGACATGCTACACGTGAATGAATACCTACTGAGATGTGCATGAAGCTAGGCAACTGCTGAGTGACTCTACAACTACACTTCACCATGGGAGAGATGATAATGGTCTTGATACAAAAAAGACCTATGCATAAACTATGCAGTACTTTATTTTAATTTAGATGACTAACATACCGTGCATGACTTATATAAATATCCCTAAGTTCTAATCATCTGGTATGCATCAGTTCTTGTACGCTCATCGAAATTAAGAAATATTAAGCATGGTCATTATCTAGATGGATGTCTGCCTGGGAATAAAAGATTCTCCAAGCTTGGATGTGCAGATGGTGTAATAGATAATGGCTTAGAATGACAAATTGGTGAGATAAATTTGCTACATTCCCTTATGGGAACGGTATGAATTCACCTCTTCTCTTCTCAGCTATGGCTGGAATGGTAATACTTGCATCTGAAAATCATTATCTCCAAAAAATTGTTAATAAAATATTCATTTGCAAAAAAGAAGAATTATTCTTACAATCCAAAAATATGTTTCAGTTTTAAATAACCTACAAAAGGTTGATAAAATGTAAAAAACAAAAACAAATCAAATCTGATATGTACTCTACCTGCTTTACATTTGATTTTCATTAACATACTTAACTGATTTTATAATAATGATTTCCCTATTAATTTGAGGCTTTATCCAGTGGTTGTGTCCTACCAGTTTGCACTAATTGATTCTTAAAATTATAAAAGTTTAGTGAATTGGGTGTTGGATTATCCAAAAATAATCTTATATATTAATAGCCGATATATAATAACTAAAAATATAATTGACACTATTACTGCAAGTTCTGCAGAGGCTGAAAGAAGGTTTTCTCTGATGAACATAATTTATTCTGACAAAAGAAATCTTAAAGTTAAAAATGTGGCAAATCTTTTAGTCATAAATTTGATTAGTCTTCCACTGGATCTTTGCAACAATTCCCTTTTAATGTGGCAAAGAAAGCATAACACAGCTGCTGACACTAGAGTCAAAAGCATCAAACTTCTGAACAGAAATACGATGAGAACAGAATTTCAATCTGGAAATATCTTAATAAATAAATGTTTTCTATTACATTATCAAAATGGTTCAATTCTTTTTGAAACTAGAAAGTGATTTGTTTCTATTCTCAGATTGAAAAGAAAATAAGCAGAAGAGGTTTCTAAATATCACCTGCCTTTATAGAACCAGCTCCTGGAAAATTGGGATGCTATTATTGGTTTTATCCTTTCTTTAATTGCAAAGCTTGCATCTATTTCTGATCAAATTTTTAAGAAAAAAATAATTACCATGAGTGCTACTAACCTAAAACTCAATGTAATAGATACTGAGGTATAAGGAGAAAGATTTGCCTTCACATAAATATATTGTCAGAAATTGTACAAAAAAAAATGGTTATGGTAATATTATCCATTTCATTATTTGGAAAGATTTACCATTTACTGACGAAGCAATTTATAATATATTTGGTTGAAATATTATATCCATTTTAGTTGCTGACCACACATCTGAAACACTTTTATCGTATACAAAAAAGACTAACACAAACTGCTGACCATAAGGAAACTTGTGGTGAGCAGTTTTTATTATGATACTGACTCTGCTAGTCATTTTCTGATACATACAAGATATCTAGTGGTTGGCAGTTTTTATTAGGATACTCTCTATGAGTTATCACATGCTAGTCATTTTCTGATACATACAAGATATCTAGTGGTTGGCAGTTTTTATTAGGATACTCTCTATGAGTTATCACATGCTAGTCATTTTCTGATACATACAAGATATCTAGTGGTTGGCAGTTTTTATTAGGATACTCTCTATGAGTTATCTCATGCTAGTCATTTTCTGATATATATGACTTACTTTGGGGTTGATAGTTTTTATTATGCCACTCTCTATGTCTTATCTCATGCTAGTCATTTTCTGGTACATATGAGTTAGCTTGGGGTTGGCCGTTTTTATTATGACACTCTCTATGACTGATCTCATGCTTGTCACTTTCTGATACATTTTCATATGTGGACACCAACTACAAGTTTATTTGAAGTAATACTTTTAGTGTGAAAACAATGTTAAGACTTCAGTTGAAGCTATAAATTAAATCATAAAATTGTCTATTCCAAATTGAGTGTTTGAAGTCAGATTTCGTAACTGACCTCTGGCAGTCAATGCTAAAGAATGAATTGTGATGATTACTAATTTTTGAATATACTGAGTTCAGATGATATAAATACCTGTTAAAGAAATATTTAAATCACTATCTACTAAGTTGTAATCACCTCCTGTTTCTACTTCCTGTAGAGTGAGACAGAACTTAATTCATTTTACAAGAATAAAAAGTTCAAATGATTTCTGCATTAATCTGTGGCTTTGTCCTTTTTTTTTTCTATTGCAGACCCAACACTACATTTAATCCAGAGACTGAGTGATAAACCAACTGACTTCCTTGTCACATAATTGTAGACAATCAGACATTGCTTTACATTCTAAGTAATTTGGTGTATGTCTCTGAAGTGTTTTAAACAAAGGAAGTTGTTCACTCATTTTAATGAATACCACATGAAAAGCTCTCTGGTAAATTCAAATCAAGTTAACTTACTCTCTATACTTCACCATCAGACACCTCAATATATCTATAAAGAAACATCAGTTTCGCTTACTGTGTCATAAATTATATATCAAAACAATATTTCTATAGGTTAGACAAAATTTACATGGCTCATTTAATTCCAGTGTTATATCCTATATAATAACACTTAAAATACTTTTCATTTTCTTTTCTTGACTTTTTGTCACTTTTGAGTTTCTAAAACATGTAATGGATATAAATGTTTATATAGGCACATTATGTTCCAAAGGTTATCATAGTCAATGGTGATAGTGGAGACAAGTTCCCACTATCTATAAAATGCTTCCATGGCATGTGTCTCAAATAAAACTCTGAGAACAAATTTCATCTGCTTCAGGTAGATGGAGCTCAACAGCTCAGGAAGGCAGTCCATCTAGGAGAAGGAAAATTTGCTGCCTTGCAGTCAAATCCAAACATGGAAAAAAGGCTATGACAGACAGAAAACCAGGAGTGGAACCGCAAAGGTGGTTGACTGTCAACACTTACAGCTCCTGCAGCCAATCTGTCCCCAAATCTAATATCCTGTATTCCTTAGGGTCCTGTCAGTATGCCAAAGAGGCGGGGGGGGGGGCACTTAGTTTGGGCAGCACACGACTTTATACTATCTCCAGTCTAGGAGAAGGAAAACAATCTGCTGGCTTGTAGGGCTTACATCTTTAACTTCTGAGAGAAGGGATGGGTAAACTCAACATCCCTGGGGAAAAAACAAGGAGCAAGCCATTGCACTCTTCTGCCTTGAATGTCACCATGAACCACAATTGTGAGATGGAGGGGAGTGGTGACCACAGTGGTGGTGCTAAATGAATGAATTTAGCAGCCATGTTTGTGGAAGGGAATTTGCAATTTAAAAAATATGATGGATAAATTCAATAGACATAGAATATATATATATATAAATTATATATATATATAATTTAGGAAAATTTTTGCTTGAGGATGAAACAGGGTTTGATACTTTAATTTTAATAATTATATTGAGGTTTTCGGCTTTCGTTTTTGAAACATGAGAACTCTTATGTAGCAAAGGAATCATATTTTTAAAAAAATAATTATAAATAAATATATATATATATATATATATATATATACACACACACACACACACACAATATATATATTCTATAGGTATGTAACTGAGTGGTTTGTAATACTGAAGAAATGTAACAACATCACAGGCATTGAAACCATTCTAGCAAAGATACAACTTAGGTGGGTTGGTCATATTGTGAGAATGGATGAGCATAGGCTTCCAAAGAAGGTGCTGTATGGACAACTACCAAACACCAAGTGTTCAGTTGGATGTCCACTCTTATGCCACAAAGACAAATTGAAAGAAAATGAAAGACAACTTGAATATATATATATATATATATATATATATATATATATATATATATATTCTATTATATATATGAGCTTAAGCTTCCAAAGAAGGTGCTGTATGGACAACTACCAAACTCCAAGAGTTCAGTTGGATGTCCACTCTTATGCCACAAAGACAAATTGAAAGACAACTTCAGATGTTTCAACCTTAATCTTAAAACCTGGGAAGCCCAAGCATCAAACCAAAAGGAGTGCCATAAGACATGTTTCATTAAGTTAAAGGGTTTCGAAATCTGTAGACTGAAGCACCATGATCAGCTTCATCAAGCTCTGAAGCAGAGACACCATCAAAATCCTGTTTTAACAAATTTCATCAGTCAGTGTGGCTTTGTTGCCCGCAGCAAGACTGGGCTAGTATTACACTCAAGAAAGCACAAATGAAATATGTCTGTGCCTTACCTGATTTTCTCCACAATAGTTCTGGCTAGCATGCATAAGTGTAAAATGAAAGGTACCATCTACTGCTGACCCTCATATATTATTCACGATAGGAGAGTCCACCATCTACATATATATATATATATATATATATATATATATATATGAATAAAAATGACAATAGGAAAACTAGTAATTGCTGACACATTTCGTCCAATGTAGACTTTATCAAAGCAAAATACGTAAATAAAATTAATTGAACAAAGTAACTAATAAAAACAAAAACAGAATGTTCCTAGCAACTGGAATGTAGAGAAACGCTATTTTCATATTTTTAACTGAAAATAATGTTAGTATATGTCACGTATCGAGATTCAGTTTTCCTATTGTCATTTTTATTCATAAATATTGTCTTCTCTACTGGTTAAATCGGAAAATATATATATATATATATATATATATATATATATATATATAAATGAGAGTGAATGAATAACTTCACAGACTTATACATTTATGAGTTAAAATTATAATTGTATAATGGGCATGATATCAGTGTTTGAATTTGCTACTTACATTCCACCGTAAGAACTCCACTGACTGACTGATTTCCAGCATCATTAACAGCCGTACATGTGTAGTTGCCTTCATCACCATGACTAATATTGATTATCTTTAAGCCTGTATCCAACACTTTGAATCTGCTGTTGATTGTGAGTAAAGGGAGTCCATCTGAAAAAGAAAAGATTTGAAAGAATTAAAACAAAAACAATAGGCTATTGATAACTATAAAAATTTAATTGCAAAACTTCATAATGACAATATTTCATATGAGCTCTTAAGAATTGCTCAGTGCATTGAGAATACTCTATTCTCATAGATTAAATAAAGTGTTTCAAAATTATAGGAACATGAAAATGGATCTAATGGAGCAACAATTGGATGTTGGTGCCAAGAAAAACTCAATACTCTGGATATGTGTAATGTTATCATCTTACATACTAATAAGAGGTCTTAGACATGAGACTTTGATTTTCAACAGGATGGTGGCAAGTGACACTTTGATTCTACTGAAAATGTAACTGACTGCCAGTCTCAATAAAAAAAAGGTCCATACTTAAGACTGACATCTTTTGTTTAGGAAAGACACTGTGAAAAGCAGAAACGAGTAACAAATTTAAATTATTGCTGCCACATATGGTCTGGTGCTCCTGCTATATATTCAGAGATCTTGATAAAATCCAAAGAAGAATCTGCAATGTTATTTGTCCTGACCTGGCATTTCAGCTTCAGTCCTTTTCCCACTGCCATAATGTAGCATCTCTGTGCCTTTTCTACCTTTCATGGTAATTCTTCTGATAAACTTTCTTCTATGGCACCTAAACTTTATGAATTTAAGCACAGTACTAGATTGGCAACTAGGTTTCATCATTTTACAATTGAAATGGTTATATGTAACTGTAAGTTCTATGCTAAACATTTCTTTTATTGCACTTCTTGCTTGTGGAACTCTCTTCTGGCTTCTTAATTCCTGTTCTTTTATTGTTCTCACACCTTAATGTTTTCTTTTCCTTTCACAAACTGTATCCCCTTACATCTTAGTAGCTTTGTTGCCTTGCTTGCTTTTGTGAAATGATTAAAAAAAAATCTATGAAAAGGAGAAATACCAAAAGAAAAAAACCTTTGCAAACAGAAACAATAACAAATTGAAAAAAACTCAAAGAAATGATAAAAGAGCACATAGTGTCTTAGAGGGAGCAACTAATTACTGTGTTGCCTCTTTGAACAGCAGTAGCTAAAGAACGTGGTAGTTTCCGTACCTCTCAAGGGTTATGTGTCTGGCAGACTCACAGAAATTAAAATAAAAAAACACATATGTCTAGATTTAATAAATGTCTGTTTTTATATCTGTCTATATTTCTGAGATGAGTTATTGTAATTATTTACACTATTTTCATTGTTTGGACTATTGTCCTCATCTTTATTGCCATATTCACCTTTAACATCTGTCTATATTTCTGAGATGAAGTATTGTAATTATTTACACTATTTAAATTGTTCAGACTATTGTCCTCATCTTTATTGCCATATTCACCTTCAACATCTGTCTATATTTCTGAGATGAGGTATTGTAACTATTTACACTATTGACATTGTTTGGACTATTGTCCTCATCTTTATTGGCATATTCACCTTTAACATCTGTCTATATTGCTGAGATGAGGTATTGTAATTATTTACATTGTTCAGACTGTTGGTTGGATTTAGTGACTTGACCCAAATAGTTATGAGTTCAATATCTGGCTATGGCAGCAGTGAACAAAAACTTGGAGAATTGGGACATCTAGATGTGGCATGGCACATGGAACAAAGACAATCTACCCCAGTGGATGAAATTATGGGTTCAGTTTGAAATTCCAATCACCTGAAGAAGGCTGGAGTGTACAACAGCTGAAACATTGTAAATGTAACAGTAAAGATGAGGACAACAGTCCAAGCAATGTAAGTAGTTACAATACTTCATCTCAGGCATGGCATGTGGAACTAGAAGAATCTACCCCAGTGAATGAAAAAAAGGGTTCAGTTTGAAATTCCAATCACCTGAAGAAGGCTGGAATGTACAACAGCCGAAACATTGTGAATATGACAATAAAGATGAGGACAACAATCTGAACAATGTAAATAATGTCTATTTTCATATTTTTACAGACATTATAATTTTTTTCTCTCAATTTTAACCCTATTATTACTGCTACTAGTAAGTAGAAAAGTCTCTAGACCTGGGAAGGCATATGCCAGTCCCTTTAGCTAACATCATACTTTGATTTATTAGAAACAAAGCAAGCAATGAAAACTATGCAGGATAACTTTAGATATGGTCAGCACAATAAGAACACTGTACTCTCACAGATTAAATAAAGGGTTTAGTTTGAAACATTGTGATAATCACAACAAAAATGAGGACATCTGTCTGAGTATAAATAGAAGGCTGGAGTGTCACACTTTCATTTCAGAGAAAGTGCATTGCCATTCAAAATTAAGGTAAAAATATTGATCCTTAAATAAATAATTTTTGATTGGTCCTGCTGCATTGACAGTTGTCCATCTTGGATGATAGCATAGTTCTGCATATTGCATTGAGTCTGGCTGGGGGCTATGGAGATTTTGGTCTACCCATTTTAGTTTTACCAGTTTTTTTTTTTTTTTAAGCATTTCACCCCAAGCAAGGCGGGAAGCCACTAGGATGCAAGGGGTTACAGAAAATAGCAAGATCAGATAGGAGTGATAGAAGAAAGGATGAGGGTAGTGGATAGATTAAGGCAACTGGAGATGTTGATTGACATTAAAATTGAATAGCTGTAGATTATAGCTCACAGGGAAACAATTATTACAATAAATGCACCATTGCTAATTTTACTAAAAAAATGCTTTGTTGCTAATTTTATTACAATAAATGCATCATTGCTAATTTTACTACAAAAATGCACTGTTGCTAACTTTTTTATAAAAATATGTTGCTGATATTTTTACTATAAAAATGTATTTTGTCTTTTTTTTTGTTTTTTTGATTTTTGTTTGGGGTTCATTATTTGCCCCTTGGACCAGGGAACAACAGCAATTAAGTTCCAATCTACTGATCAGAGGCTTTGCAGCAGGATGTAGTTTAGTGGGAAACCCCAGACACTGTATGTATGTACGCAGAGTGAAAATAATTTTGATACATTCCAGCATTTTTAGTTTTGAAAATGGTTTGTACAATATATTTGTAAATGGTAAAAAAGAAAAACACAACAAGAGAATATTCACCACATGAAAGCCATTTTAGTGAATATGTTTTATTTTACAAACTGAATTTAAAACAAACAAAAATTTGCTTCACTTCTAATCAACCTTATTATTCATGTTAATAGAAAATATTAAAAAAGAAGGGAAGAATTTTTCAATTAGAATCCATTAACAATTTGTATTCACTGGAATATTAATATATATATAAATATGCATACTTAAGTTTTTGATGTTTTTCTTTTTTTTTTTTAGATTAACAATTCATGAGAAGAATTATTATGAAGAGTAAATTTGGTTTCTTCAGCAGTAAATGGCATGAATTAAATATGAATGATTTCACAATGAAGAAAGTGCAGCCATCTTAAAAGATGGCTGCACTTTCTGCTACGAATTCTGGGATACATTGATTGAAATTTAAAATTTTAAAATCAAACAAATAAGAAAAATCTTTTACATTTGTACTCTGTAGACATGATACAGATTCATAATAATTGCAGAATTTTGATAAGTGACTGGGTTGACATATAAATGCTGTATGTTTAAGGAAATGAATGTGATGTTAAAAAATGTATGTTAAATATGTAAAGGAAATTATTATGAATGGCATTAAATTGAATATATGAATGAATATACTAAAGTGCATTTTAATAGGATGGAAAGTGCAACACTGGGATAGCAAAAGTTGCCTTCCAAAAGCTAAGCAAAGTATTAAGAAACAGAAAGATTTCATTAGAAACAAAGAGGACCTGAACTGTTGCATAATATCAGTCCTCCTATATGGCAATGAATGTTAAACAATCTCCTCACAGATGAAGAAGAAACGTGAAGCAACAGAAATATGGTTCTACAGAAGGATGTTGAGAATACTATGGATCAAAATGTGAACAATGACAAAGTTTTAGGGAAAATAGAATCAAAAAGTATATTTATACTTATCAGGAATAGATAAATGAAATTTCAAGAGCACATATTGAGGAAAGATGTCTTGGAAAATTTGATACTCACTAGACAGATTCAAGGACAAGAAGTTGTGGAGAGTCATGATCACTAATGTGCTGAAGGTACATGGCACATAGAAGTCACCACATTTTGAATAAGGTTGACAAGAAATAGTTTGTTGTATGTATGTATTTATATAATATTTTCATTTTCAGAAACAGTCAACATATTGTGTCCATGTTCATAGTTGATATTATTGAATGTTGTTTTTTTTTGTTTTATAAATAAGGCTTCCATTATTTTTAGCCTTTTTTTGCATGTAGTTGATGCTATTATATTATTTAATGGTTAATATATTTCATCCTTGAAAATGGCTAAATGTATAGCCAAAAGCACTCAGATAAAAAGAACATTTGAACAGTTTTTATATAATTTATCATCTGAAAAGAAAAAAATTATTAGATCACATCAGAAATTGTATAAAAAACTAAATCAAAGCACCTTGTCTGTCATATTCAATGAAATGTGCATATATATGTCGGAGTTACCTCCTGCTTCTATCCTTGAACTGGCAGAGGAACAGGTCATTTCGACCTTGACCTCTCATTCATGCTCTTTACACACTGTTAACACGTCGGAGGGACTAGCAAATCCACTTTTTAGTTAGGTTATATTACAAACCTAGTTGTAATATACTACTAGTCATTTTTAGACCATAGTTCTCTTTAGCTAACCTTGTAGTATTTTATTATAGAGACTTTTCGGTTAGCTTAGC